AAGGGTACGTACAACATCCTCATTAGTCTGAAAATGGACCAAATAAAACCCATTCTCCAAATCCATCATCTTGCATCCCACCATATGTGGCCACATCTTTAACAATCTGTTGTACAAGACCCCATGGGATAAAGCGGCATCCATTGGTTTGATCACAACAACGTTCTTCCAGTCTTTGGCCATCATTTCATAGAAGCGTGTCGCAATACGCATGTGAGAGACAGATTCCGAGAAATCCACCTGAATATCTTCTTCTACTTCCTCCTCAGTATCACCTTCCTCATTTAAATTGACGTGGGGCCGGTTGTTACTCAGCATATCTCTAAAACTCCAGCGCTGCGGAGTCCCGCCCTTTGCTTGAACGCCTTGCGCCGGGGTGTCAGCTACTGGCTTGGCCCCAGAGTTATCCGCTAACCCCACCGAGATACCCGGGTCAAGGGGGCGCCGACGTTTCGAATACCTTCCATTGACGAGCGGTGGGACAGTTTCCTTGGACAGCGCCGGAAAGTCCCCGTTCAAAGGCACAGTAGCGGTCGCGGAGAGGGCCATATAACCCCCAGAAGAACCGAGTAGATTGCTGTTAGGGCAAGTGGTTGCGGCGGCGCCGCCAGAAGGAAAAAAATCGCCAGACACGCCAGACATCTGAATATAGTCACAAATTAATCTTATTTTATCCTAAAATTAATTATATTTATTATAAAATAAATCAATTAAGTATACAATTGAAAATAATTTAAGTGTCTTTTAGCTCATTATGTCGTTTCCTGTCTTTTCTATATTATATTACTTACTTAAATAAAATTTGTTTGAATAATTTGATTCGAGACAATAATTTTTTGTGTTAGACTTTCATTAGAATGTTTTTTTTTTTTGGTACAAGACTTTCATTAGAATGTTTAGTATACAGTTGAATTTAATACTACGTCTAATTTTTCTATTTTTTCAAATAAATGGGATTTCAGAGTATAAAAAATTTAATACTACGTCTAATTTATTTATGTATTCAGTGAAATGATATATGAACCTTAAATGACATGTCATACATCAACAGTAAAGCATTAGTATACTGTCTCATGGCGGTCTTTTGAAAATATATTATTTTTTTCTAATTAAAATTTAAATATATGAGAAAAATATATTTTCATTTAAAAAATAATAATTAATTAATTAAAAGATATGATTTGTCATATGCAAGAGTAGTTAATAATTCACAAGCTTTTTTAGGAGGTCCATATAATAGATTTTTATGCTTGAAATACAACACCTATATTTTAATAGTGTTTAATGCAGGATTTATATAATTTATATTAATACTTCAAAATCATATTCATACTTTTATTTTTTTAATATATGTGTCTACCTAGATTGTTCGAGTCAAGCACTTCATGTTTAAACTCGTGTACATTGAATAAACGAGTTGCCATTACTCAAGTCGTTTAATAAATAAGCAGAAATGAACCCGAGTTCAAAACTTTAAAATCTAGACCAATACTCAAAATCTAATTGAGTCGATCGCGAACACGTTCAACTCGACTTGTGTGATAGAAAAACTCGATTAGTTGTTTGAAGTTAGCCCGTTTAAATATAAAAGTGAGTCTAACTCGATCGTTCACAAGTCGAATTGAACTATGTTATCGGTAGTGCTGTTAAATTAAACGAGTCTAGCTCGAGTTTGACTCGGCTCATTTGATAAACGAGTCGAGCTCGAGCTCATTCAAAATTGGTTTGGTTAACGAGTCGAGTTCGGCTCGATAAGGCACATTAAGACATCGAAAGAGAACTTTCGTATAATTTCATATAGTTCGGCTCGTTATAGTTCGAGACTGACTCGTTAAGATTCAAACTCGGTTTGGTAAACGAGCCGAGCTCGGATCGTCTCGTTAAGGGCTGAGCTCGAGCTCGAGTAATCTAAGTTCAAGTTCGAGCTCGGCTCAGCTTGTTTATAGGCCTAGTTACCGAAAATTTAATTTGCACGTTTTGCAGCCCAGGGTAAAAAAGAAATTCTGGATACGCCCCTGATTAAAGAGACATGTATGTGCAATGAAGAATGTAGACACTGAATATCAAATAAGGGTTTATTGCACGAAATACCCTTTATTATATGAATCTGCGTGTTTTTTTCCTGTTATTTTAAAAATTGCGTCAAACCCCCTTGTATTTCATGTTTGCATGCACACTCGCCATTTCCAGTTAACGCCGATACTTTAATGCTAACGGCGTTACTTTTTCATTGAATTTACCTTTATACCCTTCCTTTAACATTGAATTTATCATTTTATCCTTAATGTCGATATATTGACTTAAAAGTAAAATTCCAATAGTGGGATTGAACCTACCACCTTTGGGTTGTAAAAGGCAACTCTTACTAATAGTTATGAATGTGATTTTATCTATATATATCACACTGTATAGCGGAAATATCATATAATCAAGTATATAGATTCTAATTTATAAATATCATAATAATGAATTATATAGATTCTAAATTATGAATAATATAATAATTAATTATATAGATTATATATAATGTAATAACTAAGTATACAGGCTCTAAGTTATAAATAATATAATAATTAAGTATATAGATTATAAATTATAAATAATGTAATAATTAAGTAAATATATTCTATATTATAAATAATATAATGATTGAGTAAATAAAATCTAAATTATAAATGATACCATAATTAATTAAATATATTCAAAAATAAAAATAATACAAAGACTAATAAAAGAGATTCTAAATTACAAATAAGATGAATAATTTTATAAAAGTTCAGATTTAAAAATAAATAAAATTACAAAACCTATTGATATTATTTAAATATCATAACGAAGGATACTCGATATTTCAATTAAAAATTTTTTCCATTATAAACAGTATTTTTTAGTTATTATGCATTTACAAGAATTTACAAATAAATAGAATTGGATAAATAAGATGTACTTAAATTATTTATTACAAGTTCATAAATAAGAATTTAATTGAAAAACATTAAATTTATATATTTGTTGAATATTTAAAAATATAAAATAATTTAACAACTAAATAAAAAATAAATAAAATCATATTTTGCTATTGCATAGAAAATATTTTATTTATAAATTACTACTTTCATAACATATTATACATATAAGTATCATTTTATTTTATTATAAATAAAGTTAATTTTATTTATTTTTATTATATTAATTTATATTATAAAAATCTATATTTAAATTTAATATTAAAATTTATTTCATATTTATATTTTTTAATTTATTTATATGAAATTATCATTTTATTTTTATATTAAATAGTAATATATTTTATTTATTATTTTCAAATTTTACATTTAATTTTATTCAATTTAATTTTTATTTTACTTTATTTTAGTTATATTTTCTTATAATAACATTATTTTGTAATTAATTTTTTTTTTGTTTGATTATGTTTTCCGCTGTTCGTGTTGTTTAAATCAATCTGTATTAAATATGTATCATAAAATGATGGTGGGTAAGTGGTTTGAAGTCTTGCCAATTAATGTTTTGGCCCAGGTTTGACGGAGAAGAGGGAATCGTGCAACAGTTAGTTAATACAAGATGCAATTTTTAAAATATCAAGAGAAAACGCGTAAATTTCGTATAATACAAGGGATCATGTATATTTTACACTATCAAATAAAAAAATTAGGGACCGTAGGGAACAAAATTTTACACCGGACTCATCAACAAAATAAAAAAATATATACCAAATAGCAATGTAAGTGCTTTTTTAATTCTTCTGTAGAATTAGTAACACAAAAAAACAGTTTTTTTTTTTTTTTTTTTTTTTTTTTTTTTTTTAATTTAATTTCAGTAATTACAATTTATAGATTCACTCAATTACTCGAATTTAATAAATATAACTTATTTATTCACTCTTGATTAGAGCGCTGCGACTTGCAATCAAGTGCGATCTCATTGACCAGTGAACACACATTGGCTGAAAATATTATTATAATATTTTACTTCAAAATAAATAAAGAATTTTGGCATCTTCACCTAACCTCTTCTAGCATTTTCCTACATACATCCATCAAACCTCACACAGTTGAGTAATATCTTTCACAAAACATTCGCCATTAATCTACCTCCTCATCTCTACAACTCATCAGAACTCAAAGGGGGTGCTCTGAGGTAACACACAAACCTCTATCATCATGTTTCTCTTTCGATTTTGTTTCATCGTTCTTTTGATCTGTTTTCTGTAATCCTGTAGCAATTGATTTAGATTTTGTGGGATTATGCAGGATTCAAGTGTTATACTGAGTTGCTTTAGGTTTTTTTTTTTTTT